CTGTTTATAAACATTCATCAGCTATTAGGCAATATCAATCTTCCATGATGCCAGTTATTAAATCTCCTATAATATTACTGAAACCTACCATATCACATATAACTGTAATCGAGGAGAATTACGGTTTGCACAAGGTAATTCCGAGAAATTTTCTTTATTAATCTATTTTTGATAAATACAAATTTATTAATTTATGTTTGCTAAATAAAAGTTTTATATTAATAAAATGTTATTATTTTAGATAACTGAAGATATGGTTAAAATACATTATATCGATGGTAATCACCTGACAATTTTGAAAAATAAAACAGTATCAGCTGCAATTAATGGAGAGTCACCATTCACGATTTAATATTTTATTATATTTATATGATTTATATTTTAATCAAATAAGATAGATAAATTTTTCTTCCTGTAAATTTGTTTAATAACGTTAATGATAGCAGTAATAATAATTATAATATTATAACATAATTGTATGTAAAAACTTCCAAAATCAAACAAAGAATTTTTCCAATATAAAATTGGAATATTGTGAGGAATGTAGTTTAAAGCGTCTGTCGCTAGGTGGGGTGGTACGAATGCTGGAATATGTATGGTGTGGCGTACGAAGATTTTTTTTGTAGAGCACGTTATAATAAATAAATATCAAAGTTTACAGTGGCATCCGCGGATTGTTTGTTCTTTTAAACATCTCTCTTAGTGCCCTAATCCTAACAGGTTATGGGCCCAGGATAAAAAGATAAAAGGAGAATAACAAATATAAAGAGTGCCAGAGTTAACCTCAAAAAAAAAAAACACGCATTCGAAGATGAGTCTAATCGGTAACAAATAGATAAACTTGATGAAGGCAATTATGAGTCATGGAAACTTCAGATGAAGAGTATACATGTAATGATACATGTAATGATTTATGGGAATATACAAATGATGCATACTTAAAACCCGAAGAAGATGCAGAACAATGGATCGCAAAGGCCCTCGCACTTATCATCCTAAGCCTGAAGAAAAATCAATTGCAACACGTCAAAAAGACTTCTACGTCTAAAGAAGCATGGGACGGCATAAGGAATGTTCATGAATCAAAGGGATCCGTAAGAAAGGTAGCATTGTATAAACAATCACTATAAAATTACCTTTTTAAAAAAGGTAAAAAAAGGGTATTTAGTGAACGCTTGAAAAAAAAAAGAAACTGTTGT